GACACCAACGGAAACAATAAGGATTTCGCGCCGCCTCTAGTTTTGAATATTGATGCACAGTTGGTTGATGGGTAGGAATTTTGACATGCAGGGATACAATGTAGCATCTTCTGGTCAGGTATCCTCCTGAGTCCATCTATGTTGAAATTCGACTACATAGCTGATAAACCAGTTTTCCCCTTGAGTCATCAGCTAAACTATTTCCACGACATTTCATTTAGCAGTAACCGCTTATGCACAAAATAAGCAAGCTACGGTTCGCCCTTATTGGTCTGGGTTACTCTTTCGAAGGTTGGTGTGAAGTCTTAGTTATCAATGACAGGCTTACTCGTCACAGGAGCTAATCGGTATTATCTTCCTTCAATACTGCAAAGGCGAGACTACTGTACTATAAATAACCGAAGGGAGCATCGACTTGTCGGCACAACTGCCGAGCATGGTTAGGATTCCTTAGAAGTTAGTCATCTAGCGCAGATGCCGCATTTCGGTGATTCGGGCTCATCTTGTAGTCGATTTCAAGCCTGTTAGGGTCCAGTAGTTTCTAGAGTCTACCTTCGTAAATGTTCTAACTACCTTTGGAGTGTGTCACCATCCATATTTTGGTTAAGCTTCTCCCTTCTACCCTTTCATTTCAGGCCAGGCTAACAAATGGATCAAAAACATGGAGAAAAATAACAGCCTGAAGGTTTGCAAACTCACAGACACTACGTACGTTCGGACTCTGGAGAATGCTATCCAGTTTGGCATGCCAGTTCTGCTAGAAAATATCGGTGAGGAGTTAGATCCCATCCTAGATCCGGTTCTGCAGAAGCTCATCTATCACAGCGCGGGGTCGGATTACATTCGCCTGGGTGACAGTGTCCTCGAGTACAATCAAGAATTCAAACTCTATTTGACAACCCGCCTGCGCAATCCGCATTATCTACCAGAAATTTCTGTCAAAGTGTGTCTCCTCAACTTCATGATTACTCCACTTGGTCTGACAGACCAACTTCTGGGCATTGTTGCAGCTATGGAGAAGCCGGAGTTGGAGGCGCTGAAGAACCAGCTGATTGTGGAGTCTGCTGAAAACAAGCGAAAACTGAAGGAACTGGAGGACAAGATTTTGGAGGTGCTGAGTTCCTCCGAAGGCAACATCCTGGAGGACGAGACAGCCATCAACATTCTTTCCTCCTCCAAAGTGCTTAGCGCTCAAATTACGGAGAAGCAGGCAGTCGCTGAGAAGACCCAGGTCGAGATTGACACCACGCGAAGTGGCTATATTCCAGTTGCCAACCATGGGGCCATCCTCTTCTTCTGCATTTCAGACCTCGGCAACATTGATCCCATGTACCAGTACTCGCTGACTTGGTTTATCAATCTGTTCATTTCGGTGAGTCCTGTGTTGGAAATTTTATAGGAGTTAAAGCTACGAAAGTTAACCAAAACATCTACAA